ACAAAATACGCAAATTTAGCAGATAAAGTTAAACACAGCAAGGCAAAAATCAATAATAAATCTACTCACGACCCTCCCCAGTGCATAAATATGTTTAGCATCTAAGCCTCCAGAATTGACGCAGTGTTGCTGTATACACACATAAATGAACACAAACCACAGGTCGCGTTAGTAAATGAACCTTTGCACCAAACCATTTGCCTGATGAAGATCTAGCACTGAAACATCCCGTCAGTAGCTCCCATTCCCTTCCTAACAGTACACTATACACTAATATGGATATTCTTCTAAGCAGATATTCTTGAACTTTGTTTAAAAAGAAAGTTTCTGTCCAAACATCCATCATTTTACAAAATGCCTCAGTGGACATGAAAATGACGACAAAGGCTACAGAAAGCACGCTAGGTCAGTCATCATCAACGATACGCCAAATATCAGAGAAGACAATTCTGTCATTTCATTGATTCTGCGGATTTTAAAGTGTGGATGCTAAGGCTTTTGGTGAAATGTTGACATAAAGTAAGTTAGGTTACAAACTTGTAATAACTGGTGCTAACCAAAACTTGAAAAAAAAACAATATATGTATGCCATTCTTCTTGTTGTAAATGTAATGGCACTAATGGCACATGCTGATTAAACACAGCAACAATGGGCATGCACACATTAAACACAGATACCCAGAAGCTACAGTTTTTGAATGACTCAGTTTGAGTGATATAAAATGTTGTTTGTATGTGGATGAGAGGCCCAAACATTGATGAAAATTTTGTTTTTATTAAAAATATATATGTATTCGGGTGGGCTGCAAGGTGACTCGGTGGTTAGCACCGTCGCCCCGCAGCTAGAAGGTCGCCGGTTCGCATCCCAGTGAGAACACCTGGGATCTTTCTGTGTGGAGTTGGCATGTTCTCCTCGTGCAGCATGGGTTCTCTCCGGGTTCTCTGGCTTCCTCCCACAAGGTCCAAAAACATGTTGAGGTTAATTGGTGATTCTAAATTGTCCGTAGGTGTGAATGTGAGTGTGCTTGGTTGTCTGTCTCTAAGTGTAGCCCTGTGATGGACTGGTGACCTGTCCAGGGTGTCCCCTGCCTTCACCCTAAGTCAGCTGGGATAGACTGTAGTGAGGTTTAAGCGTTGTATAGATAATGGATGGATGGAGGTATTCGGGTGAACAAGGCCTTAGTTCACCAAGTTTTAACTGGCTGGCTGCAGAAACTAATAAAACTCCACAGCAAGTGAAGTCACTCGGTCCCTGAGGTTATTAGACAGTAATTACATGTACAGTATCGGGCAGGAAATTCAAAGTGTGGGATCATTTCAAGAGGGTAAAGGACAATCCTAAGAAAATGACATGCAAACTCTGCAGGCAAAGCTTCATCTACACGCTTCAGGAATGGCTATCATTTCTGTTCTTATGCATGTGAATGAATACATGTAAATGATGTGTTTGTTTTAAATACTGCAAACCTTGAATCAGCCTTTCAAGAACAAATTAGGTGGTTCTGACTGAACTGAACATATCACGTCAAAGCAGAAAAGCGCTATTGCTGATGACTGAACTGCATTGAGCTGCTTTCACTTTGTTCATGCTCACGGCCACAGTTTATTGGAAAAACTAGTAGCCATCGTCAAACTATCTGTGCTTTCTTTTTTCTTTTTGTGAGCAGTTGGTCGTCACACAGCGAAATGAAGGCTTTTTGTGCATCGAGTAAACACAAGAGGTTACACAACCAGAAGGTCAGTGGTTTGATCTTCTTCCGTTGTGCATCTCTAAAAAACTTCAAGTGTCTCAGCAGCATGCTAAATCCGGCTCTGCTCCAAGAGCTCACTTAAGGTGGATTCTTTTCCCTCCATTATAACTGCAAGATGTTTAAATGAACTGAAAGCCTGTTTAGAATACAGTCATGTGCGGGTTTTTCAGCAGTCATGAGGGAAAACACTATAGTACCGCATTGTACTGCGTCGTCCTCGCTGTGCTGTTGTGCAGAAGCATGTGTAACAGAGGCACGGAGGGATTCACGCCGGGAATAACATTTGCAAAAGTCTTTCTTCTCTCTTTTTTTCCCCCCTCCCTCTATAGCAGGCAGATCCTTGGAAGTTTCCTCTACAAACCTGACAGTCACACTGTTACACTCAGGTGTAAACAGTTGTCAGTAATCACACAGTGGAAACAAACTCCCTTCAATCACCACAAAAGCTTTTGCATGATTGCTTAGAAAGTTCCATCCAGAACCGCCTAGTAATTGCTATGTTTAGATGGGTATAGCTCACGGTACGCTTGTAATAAAGAAATTTATTTAATTTAATTAAAAGAAAACACCAACATCCACTCGGTTGGTAATTGAAGGTACATACTGCTGCGGTGTTGTGCATAAATTTGCAATAAATCTTATGAAGGTGATAATTTTCAGTTTTGTTTAGGGAGACGCTGATTCAAACTTCAGGTCATTTTCAAGGCTGCAGGTTTTGAGTTCTACTGAAAAGTGTTCCTAATAATTTGTCTCCATTTAATTAGATGACAACAAGCCACCCTCATTAATATTGTTAACATACGTGACCATATTTGGTAACTTCCTTGGACGTTCAATATATCCACCCTGTGCCCTCCTTGAGGTTGAAGAACCATGTGACCTTTGATTTAGCTTTTATATTAGCGGCAATATCAAAAACTGAAAATGCAATTAGACTGCAATGTGCCACACTTGATCTACAACACATCTGTGACTGCAGATTCTTATACAGGTTCCTCTTCAACGTGATAATGATGTTGCTGTAAATGTCACGAATCAAATGTTCCAGGCACTTTATAAACGCTTTATTACTGGTTTGAATTGAACTCCATTTTGATTTATTTTTTGAGATTAGTGCCAATGCCACTACTCCAAGAAAAATGTTACAGGTTGTGTGTCATTACCTCAAACTAAAATGTTTCTCAATAAATGCTTTTTGCAGTTTGCTGCTTTTTCTTTTATTTATTATAAATTTCTTCTTTTTTTTTTTTAACCATAGACGGGCAAGTTACCATATGTGGGAACATTAATAATCTTGATTTGCAACATTAAAGTCACAAAAGTAAAAATATCTTGAAACATCCTTCAGTAACACCCCGGGGTTGAAATGTTCATTTTCAAAGTATTTTAAGGCATGCCCTATAAAGAGTTAAGTTCAGTTTATTTAATAAATGTAACAGACCAAATATCAGGCAGAATTTGGACAAAATTTGGACAGGAGGCTCAATGCGACATCAGGAGTAATGCGGGCGCTGTACCGGACTGTCATAGTGAAGAGAGAGCTGAGCCGCAAGGCGAAGCTCTCAATTTACCAGTCCATCTACGTCCCAACCCTCACCTATGGTTACGAGCTTTGGGTCATGACCAAAAGAATGAGATCGCGGATACAAGCGGCCGAAATGAGCTTCCTCCACAGGGTGGCTGGGCTCAACCTTAGACATAGGGTGAGGAGCTCGGACATCTAGATGGAGCATGGCGTAGAGCCGCTGCTCCTTCGCATCGAAAGGAGCCAGTTGAGGTGATATGGACATCTGATTCGGATGCCTCTAGAGAGGCTTCCTCTGGAGGTCTACCGAACACGCCCACCTGGGAGAAGCCCCCGGGGCAGACCCAGAACCCGCCGGAGGGATTATATCTCTCGGCTGGCCTGGGAACGCCTCGGGATCCCCCAGGAAGAGCTGGGAAGCGTCGCTGGGGGGAGGGAAGTCTGGAACGACTTGCTCTGCCTGCTGAACCCGCGCCCCGCCCCGGATAAGCGGAAGATAATGGATGGATGGATGAATGGACGGACGGATGGATGGATGTTGAGCCCTTATCCTATTTTTTTTCTTAAACCTGAACATATGATCAACACACTGTGTACCTCCAGCCTCATTGTTAAAGCCCATAAAACTTAATGAGAATCTAAACAGCTGTTCTTTAGGTTCAGCTCTCTCACATGGAGCAGCAGTGACAGTGTATACAGCACTCAGACATCCCGGTTATAATCAGGGTGTTGAAATAAACAGTTTTGTGATTCTGAAAGTAAATCATCTGTTTCAGAAACTTGAATAAGTCCTTAATCAGGTTTTAAGAAACCCAAACATTCCAGCTGCTGTGAAAGAAACTAAGATGCTGTTAAATGTATCATACTCAGGTTTTTGAATGTTTGTTTTGTTCTGGTAATGAAAGATTTAAATATGCTGAGTACAAACGTTGGGAGGAGGCATCAAACTGTTTTCAAGTCTGTAGTAAACAGGACGCTGGTTTCCCAACACATATAAGTCAGGTCAATTGCGACATCAACTGTAACCGGGATACTGATATTTACAACGTATAGGGAGACCAGATTTCTGTATGACGGTGTAACTACTATATCCAAAGCAAGATCAGAACCGGTGCAAACCTCAGGACCGGGTTACTAAAGTCCATGTAAACACATGTAAACTCAGTCAACCAGGGGATCTGAGACAATGTTGCCCCCGGCGAAGGAACAACAAGCCATCAGTCAAATCTATTCAAAGCTCGGGAAGGGGATTCCAGCAGAGCTTTACTCGGAAAGAAACATGACATTTCCAAGGTGGCAACTGAACTAAACCTGACAGATGTCTGAGTATTAATGGGTTCGAGTTTGTTTGCGTGACAAACGACCCTCCCACCGCTACCCCACACACACACACACACACACACTTCCTGCAAGAAAGCGCACACATTAAAGTAGGAATGTGTTGAATGCAAAACACTCAGAAGTTTCTCCTTTTGTTTTCTCTTGCTTCGCAGCTTCTCTGAACTCCCTGTTCGTGTGAAAGATCACTCCACTCACGTCTCGTTCACAGTTACTCAGTCACATCCATTAAGCAGGAAAGAGACGTTTATGTGCGTTGTCATCATTTTTTACACGCACGCCGCCTTTCTCCGTTCTTTTGTTTCTTCGTTTTGTTGCCAAGACGGAGAGGTGAGTGAGTCAGCTAGAAAGATGTGCTGCGGTTGTGAGCGTGCATACGTTTTTACCTTAAACCTTTTGTCTTGCAGCACTTTCTTGATGGCCACCAGCTCTCCGGAGTCGCACAGCTTGGCCTGGTAGACGACGCCGAAAGAGCCGTTCCCGATGACCTTCGTGTCCGTGTAGCTCACCTCCTGTGGCCGGTCGGGGCCTTGGCCCGGGGTGGCCACGACTGTTGTTACCTTGCTGCCATCTTTATCCCCTTCGGAGAGACACAAAGAAGAAAGAGACGCAGATGTTTAGAACAGAATGTGCACAAATTCAGCGCTTTACATCAATGAATCGAGTGTACAGTCACAGAAAACTAGCATGCAGGGCTGCATCCAGGTCCACTGGCTGCTCCATATGCTCTCAATTTAATCAATCACCAGGGTTACCTTTATAAGGAAGCATGCTTATACAAAAGTGGTACATTAATAGTAATTCAGGAAATTATTTTTGGTACCCATAGAGATTGCCAACTAATTCAGCATTTATGTTAATTGCACATGAAAATCTGGTTTATGCTTGACACGCCCGTGAGGTCCACGCAGCCTCATGTGGACAAATTATGTAATTTTAGCAGCCACGCCCCCTAGCGCGGTCCTTTCAAGTGGAAAATTTCTGTCTCCGAAAATTTCTAACAATGCAGACGGAGATGTGCGGAAAACATGGCGGATGAACAGGAGCTCCAAGTGGCAGGGGTACAAAAATACAGACATTTATACGAGTCTTCACACAGGGATCACCGTGATCGTGGCGTGAAATTGTGGCCACACTGGGTAAAGAAGAATGGGTGAAGAAAACCTTGAAAAACCTGAAAAATGGGGCGGCTGTGGCTCAGGTGGTAGAGCAGGTCGGTCAATGATGGGAAGGTTCGATTCCGCCCTGTAACCTGTGTCATGGGCAAGACACTTCACCCACCTTGCCTGGTGTGAATGCGTATGAATGGATTGTTCGAGGTGGTGGTCGGAGGGGCAGAATGGCAGCCACGCCTCTGTCAGTCTGCCTCAGGGCAACTGTAGCTACCACCACCAGAATGAATGAGTGTGAATGAATCATTGACAGTTTAAAGCGTCTTTGAGTGTCTAGAAAAGCGCGATACAAACCTGATCAATTAATTATTATTAAAAAACAGATACGTTAAGGCAAAAAAAGAGCATCAAAGGGTGAAGTGGAGACCAAGGGGAAGCCAAAATATGCCAAAAAGAGAGTTGAGCTGGCTCTCAACTTTTATCAAGCACAGGGAAACTGACTCAAACTTTCCTCCAAATGAGGTATTGATAAATATGTCAGAACAGAAAACAAACTGCTAAAAACGGATGGAGTTTTGCCTGGTGCTAAATCCGGTGTATTTACTGCAACCTTGTGTAAACTACAAGCGTGTCACCATGTTGTACACGATCATAGACTGTATAAAAGATGGACCTAGCAACCGGCCCTGAAAAATGAAGCCAACCCGGAAGTGTCAAAAACCTGCAGTATCACTACATCCACTAGCTGCTGGCTCCAAAAAGCCCTGGCTCCCATAGACTTGAATTGGAAAAGAAGTGATCACAGATCATGAAATACTGCATTCCTACAGCTCAGGATTTTTTTTATTAGTTTTCATGGTCAAGTCCAGAGATCAGATGGCCAATCTGAAAATAAATCAAGACTGAATTTTTTTTAAAAATTGTCAAAATTTTGCAGGGCAAGGGGCGTGGCTGGCTTGATTGACAGTCAGCAGCAACCATACAGATGAAGCGAGCAGAAGGCGGTAAATGTGGGCGGGCAGAGAGGGCCTGCCTCTCAATCCGTCTGACCAATCACTGCTCCTATGGCTCCGCCCCCCTCCGACGATTTTTGCGTCACTGGCTCAAAAAATCCAAGATGTCAACCAGGAAGTAGCAAAACCCTGGCTTCATTTTCTCAGTGCAGAAACCAACGGGTGACGTCACGGTAGCTACGTCCATCTTTTATACAGTCTATATGCCAAACTTCTTCTACTCTAATTCAGCACTGTGGTATGAATGTGTTTGCGCCACACTGCCCCCTGCAGTTTGGAAACAGACGCTGAGCTGAGCATAAAAGTCACGCGCTTTCTCGTACTGATTCCACGCGTCACGTTCGTACGGAAAGCAAAATCCAGCCTTTACTCGCCTCCAAACTGACATCGTGGCAAACAAGTCATCAGTGTGTTTCCATTTCACAGTACATATTATAAACAACTAAAAAGATTTGATATGCGGCAAATACTAACTTTTTATCTTTATGCACAACTCATGTTGGCACTGTAGTTGATTACATTAATCTATGGATAACATGCAGCATTCTTTTTTTTTTTGGTTGGCTGCTCCACAAGCATGAGAGAGGACATGACAGATACGGTAATCTAAAGTATTTCCACAACAGATAATCGTTTTCATGGTCTGCGATTGTATTTTCTATTCAGCATGCAGTCTTTACAATGACAATAGCAAAAAAGTCCATTTTCAAACCAAAGTGATATATTGTGAAAAGATATTCCAGTAAAGCAGACCAGGTTCGGCCTTGGTTACTTCCGTGCCTCAAAAAGAACAAGAGATATTCAAACACAAGGCCGGCGTATTCATCATTTAGATCATGTTCTAGTGGTTTGTCGACGTGGATCGTAGGAGCAGACTCACAATTTGCTTCTGAACATTTTAAACATGACAGATTTTTTTTTTGCTGGTTTTGGACAGCAAAGCTCCAAATTGGCCACCGACGGACATGTGATCCAGGACTTTTTCCTTCAACTAATGCCTCACACTGCTTCTCCCTTATCCTCCCTGTAGTAGCGTCAAGGGCTAAAGTCCATACTAGCTGGAGGGTTGAAATAATGACCGGGCAGAAGAGTGCGTCACATGCCACAAATACATGCTTGCCTCTGTATCTCCAATCTTCAAAAGGCTCTGATATCAACCCCAAAACCTCCACACAACCTACGCAACAAACAACACCCGAATCCTCTCCAAATCAGCCTCCCTAGGTGCTTTATTAGCATATCTCTGTTTCACACAAACATCAGCAGAGGAGCCTAAATGCATAAAACAACACTGGAAATAGCTTTACCTCTAATTTGAAGTGAGTTTCGCAGCTGATACATTCGCCAGCAGTTCATAATGTGCACAAAATCATGTTGATGGATGGATTAGAGCTGCGTGGCCTGTTCCAGATCGTGGTGTTATTTAGCAGAACGCTCGTGCAGCGTTCAGCAGAACACCTCCACATGGGAGGACACCGGCAGGCCACGGCGTCCTGTCCATAACGGGTGGATGTGGCCGCGCCATGCCCACTCCTGGCAAACTGGCGGCTTTGTTCACGAGTACTTCTGCATGAGTGTTTTCGACAAACTTACGTTGATTAACGCTGTAGAGCTTGAATTATTTTAAAGCCGTGAAGTCGACTTTTTGACTCAGATTGCAACAGATAGCGCGGATGTTCGCTGGTCTCCACTGTTTCATACTCGCCAACCAGCTGGACTCATTTTCCAGCAGGGTTATTGATTTTTAATGCCTGCACATGCACACGCTCACTCAAGCGAAACGCATCCAGGGTTCAACCAGGACAGAAAACAATAATTTATGCGTTTCACTATGCTTGCACCATTTAATTCGCTGCTGTGTCACCGGAGGAGGAGATGGGTTCCCGAAGATGCAATCGAACAAGCAAAGAGAAGGGTAAAGGTCGGGAGAAAACGGGCGAAACCAAAAAAAAAAGAAGCATTCTCTCTCCAGGACTGAGTCTAGAAAGAGAAACTGAAGCAGGATTCTGTAATGACAGAAATAGACTTTCCAAGAGCGTCTGAGTGTGAGAGAGAGAGAGAAAGAGAGAGAAAGGAATATAACTCTGCCTACATATTCCAGCAGGGCCATTTCTATGACGCCTCTTCACTTCCTCAAACCGTGAGAAAAGTCTGCGCATTCTCACACACACACACACACACACACACACACAGACCGACACAGCTCACAGCGAGATCCAACGCTGGTGTAAAATGGGAATGACCAAGCAATCCCAATGCATTTGAAATGACTCTTTTTTGCATTTTCACCGGCTGATTGTTGGCCCGTACGAAGCACGACCTTTCACACACTAATCTGGAAAAGCCTCAAATCCGTTTTATTATCTGTCAATCTTCACACAGACTTCTCTTCGTTTTATAATAGCAGGAAACTGTCACGGGAATAACCGGCAAATGAAGGATTACCTTCTTTAGAAGCTAGAAACACCTTTTTTTATTCTAATAAATAATCCTCAGGAGGGAACCATTAGAAAATTAAAATGTTAAAAATCATCCCACCGGAACATCGGAGAAAAAAAAAACGTCCTTTTTGATTATAACGAAACAAACATGAAATTCGCAGCAATTACAGAGAAATCGGCGAAAGCACAAAACACCTCGCGGCACGTGCTTGCAGCGTTGCCGTGGTTACTGTCAATCATCCTGCCGGCAGAACAACAACATGCAACAAATCACAGAGCGTTGCTTCATGTACATACGCTGTGTTGCTCAGATCTAAAGTGGCACAAGAGAGATAGCTGTTGCAACTTTTAGCCAGAGGCATCAATATTCAATTCAGGTCACCAGACTAGTTCAGGTCACAACTGAATCTGGCGAACGCGTGCACACGGTGGGGGCGAAGCAGGATAAGAGCAGGGCTGTGCATCGTTTCATGTTTGTCACAATGTTTTTCTAGAAAAGGTCATCACCAAAAGACACCAGCATCTGTCTTAAATGCATCTGTTGTGCTAAATTTCTGCCATCAAATTATAATCTCACGCATGACGGTGCACACAAACTGCAGATTAACACACAAACAATATGAGGTTTACCTTAAAAAGCATACGTTTGTGAAATGATAACACCCTGATTTACTACCGAGGAAGGATAAATACCCGTGTGATGGAGTGGGATTTATTTATTTTTTTCTTTTTTGGCGATTCAGATTCTCAAATGTGTGTGTACTTCAGTGTCACACACACAGCGTGGGAACTTTTTAAGTGCTGAGCCTCACAGTTTTCTGCCTTTCTGCCAAGTCTTGGTGTGACCTGACAAATTCTATTCACACCTTCATTCAGGATTTTTTCCTGCCACAACTACGACTTTTCTCCAGGCGGTTACACACTCGAAGCTCAAAAATCTTGCTGGTGTGTGTTTTGTTGCTCACTCGTTCCGGCATGTCTGTTCCCACACTTCTAGATAAATACCCAAGTAACCCACTGAAAATGGTGATAACGTACCGTATTGCCTGGATAAGAGGCCACTTTTCACATTTATATGGCACAGAAGACTAAACAGAGACATGATGTTGTTTAAAGTCCCCTAACGTGACTCCGCTTTAGAGGCACTAAAGGGGTAAAAGATTTACGCTGGTAATCATGTCGTAGTCGTAAAATTAATCATGTATTTACTGCAGGGTGAAGGAAGATTTTCACACCATTCATGTGGCATCACTACAAATAAATGTCAGCGAATAAGAACCTGCCAAACTGTCCATGTGTTCATTGCTCTCGGAAATCTGGCAAACAAATGCATACATCCACTCGCGTATATACAGCAGGTATAAACATAGTATTACACGTACTAGGGATCGACTGATACGGGCTGTTTTTTTTAGGCTTCATATTGGTCGTATAAACTCCAATAGTGGATATTTGGAATATTTTACCAGCATGTGATGGCAGGAAACCCGTCATTCATCACTGGGCTTCTTCATTCATAAAGATGACAATGACTGAAGATGTAAATTAGAAACAGGAGTGATTAAATTAGGACGCTTTCCTCCATTTATGTTGGGATCCACTGAGATTGATCAATTTGTCTTCTCTATTTTTATAATCTTTCACGCTTCTAGAACTTTTACTGCACACTAAGGTTCATATCTTACTATTGTTTCACAGATCGGCTGCCTTTTAAGTTAGCCACTAGCCATTAGCATAGCCGTAGCCACTGCGAGAGCAGCTACTGGTTTGTGGCAACGGCTTGTGTTTCTTGCTCAGTTTTCGTAGCCTCTGCTTGAGGAACGTGACTAAATCAGACCTGAAGTAGCACATTTAATTTATCAATAATCAGTGAATAAATATGCCAATACAGATGATCGTGAAAACGCCAAATATCGACCACAATAATGGATCTATCCCTAACACGAACCTTAATGTGAATTCATGCCAGAGTCATTACGCTGAACATGTCGATAGGTCTTGAAATATTAAGTGGCAAGAACGTAAATGGTTGGAGCTGTGCAGATTAGGATGACATTTATATGGATTGTATTTAGAGATATTTTTGTAACCTTTTTTTTTTATTCAGGCTAGTTTCACCGAGCAGCATCCGAACGCCCAGATGACATTCACACCAGGAAGCTGCCGAGCACAGCCACAGCCTGACCCGCTGGTCGCTGAGCAGCATCCTGCCAGCCTGGGCAACCTCGCTTCTCAAACATCCGGGCCGCAGCCGCCCACATGCCCGGCCTGTGTGCACACAACGTGTGCAGGTACATCATGTGTAGTGCAAAGTGTCCGGCCTCTGTCGTACAGCTGATGAGATAATGACTGGAATATCCAGTCACAGGAATGCCACCACTGATACACAGCAATCTTGGCCAAGCAGCAGCGAGACGGGAGAGTTTTTTTTCTTTTTTTCTTTTGACCAGACACAATGTGGGCGCAGAGATTGTAGAGATCGGTGTGCAGCCTGCAGAGCCGCCGCTCCACAGTCCTGCCGCCACGCCGACTGCACCCGACAGACTTGAGCCGAGATTGATCATCTTCCTTTTCCTCTTTCCCTCTTTAAAAAAAAAAAAAAAAAAACCCTCAGCGATTCCGGCGGTTCTCGTCTTGTCTGCGAGCCCCGCTGTTTCATTCGGAATCAAAGAGTATAATTAGTTCATTTTGTTCCCATCATCACTTGCAAAATGTGAGAGAGGGGCAGAAAGAGGCAGAGAGAGCTGCAGCTTTGAAATGCTAAACAAGCCGCTCATTGTTCTTGGCCAGCTGCCTCACCCCCCCAAAAAACAAAACCTAAGAGTGCTCATGTGGGTGTGTGAATACATGTAGGTTTCTATATGTGTAGTGTGTGTGTGTGTGTGTGTTTCCGTCTGCCTGTGTAGGAGGGGTCGGAGTGTTCTCTCCAGGATCATACAGCTGCTTAGGATCATCAGCCAAGTTATTCGCACACAAATGAGCATAAGTGTGTGTGTGTGTGTGTGTGTGTGTGTGTGCGTGTGTGTGTGTAGGTCAGGGTAGTGGTAGATGACATACTGGAAAGGAAGACATAAACAAGTGGAGGTAGATTGCGACAAGGCGACACGGTGTCATATAAATTCAGTCCAAAGTACAATCATGATACGACATATCACACACCTCCGAGCGACAAATGTGATCTGAAATTCAGAAGAAAAAAAAAAACACAATTCCAGAAGCTGCTTGTGACCCGAGAAATACACGATTTTCACAAAATGCTCTACATTACAGTAGAGCTAAAACATTAGTTGAACAATCCAAATAACCAAAAAAAAATAACTGATCCAAGCAAAAAGGCCCAACATTTGCAGGTTCCTTCATCTGAGATGGGAAGATCTGAGTCTCCAGTGACAGTGAACGTAATAACTTTGGCTCTACTGATCAGACAAAACAACTAAAGTGAAGACATCCGCCATCTTGTCCTTTAGGAATCTGTCATCACCATTTTTTTTTTTGCACTAATTTAGGACACCAAATGATTATCAACAGACCAACATAAAACACTAGTTGCAGGTTAGTTGCCTTTGAGCTGAGAAGCATCCTTAAGCCTCCCAGTGTGTTCAAATCAGAAGCCCAATTGAACTCATTGGGTTTCCTACTGCATCATAATATTATACACTTACTGTACCCTGAGATGATTTATGCGATATCAACGTATTATTTAGTGATTTTATGCTGTGTTTAGACTTAACTCGGGGGTCGGTGATGTTATCGATCTGACTGCCAAGTAGAAGAAGATTGGAAATCACTGTCAATTCACTCAGAATGGCAAAAACTGCACCATTCAACTTTTAAGATCAAGTGAGGACAACCTTGACACTGGACTACAACACACTGCTGTCAACGTTTTTGACCGCAATCCATCATCACTATGGCACAACGTTGCCAAACGAAGTCACGATCCACAGCTGGCAGACTCATCCTTTAAGCGTTGCCCGTTTTCTTGAGTGCCACCAGCTACTTGCCTTGTTTTACATCACCCCAACGCCTTTGCATAAACTACATCACGCATTGATACTTCACCACAAGGGACATCTGAGCAATCAACGGCTCTGCATTCCTCTACGGGGTTGAATGCCACCTGTTGGTAAAAATCCAATTATTTAACACTCATTAAATTGGGCGACTCCAGGTTCAGCCTTTTAATGATGTGCTTACGAACCAGATGAGTCTCTTGGAGTAAAAAGAAAAAAAAAAAAATCAGGCTGAAAAACCCACAGCAAAAGAAAAAACTTTTGTACTGTTAAATCCACAAGGTCAGCCTCGCATTTCCTGCTTATTCAGTGGCTTATGTCTGAAAAATAATCAGGCCAAAGACGGGGTCCTCAAGTTCTAGCGTTAAGATTTCTACACACTGGGAAGCACTTTCTCTGCCTTTTCCATTTTGATCAGGGACGCTTCAAAACCCTCATAGTAGTATCTGGGGCAAGGCGAGTATTAGGTTTGGGGCTGGAGTGCATCTCCCTGCTTGTGTGTCATCGTCCGCTAAGTGGTTTCCAGTGCCAAGGCCCAGAGGAGAGCCTCAGCCTCGGGCCTCACCCCACCACCACCACCACCACCACCACCACCACTCATCATGATCGCATCACAGCCCCGAAGCACCGTTGGCATTCCTTAACAGACACGTTTTTTTTTAAACCTCACACACACCCAAAAGTGGGCAAGACAGGATGAGGTGCTGTAGATGTCAAAACGCCCTTCACTGGTCTAATGAAGTAGAATTTGGGTCAGTGTAATGCAGAGTTCCAGACAGGTGAAGCACCAATTTAGGCAGCAGAGGCAGCTCCTTATGTGATCAAGCTATAATTGGGATATTGAATATTATAGGTGGAACCTCTGGCACACATTAATCAAATTGAAATCTGAAGGGTAGCAGAGATAGATAGAAGAACTAGATGTGTCCAACATTGGCAGCCTCCCTGGCTCAGCTGGTAGGCCCTGACAGTCGCATGGCTCCATCTCTGCAGCCAGTCTATAACCAGCCTCCGGCTCGGTGCCACTGTGGCTTCACAGAACAGGATACTGTGTGTCACACTTCCTCCGGGCGTCGCGACGTCTAATTTCGACATAGAAACAGGAGCAGCAAAACCAAGCCTTTCCAGGATCGCGTCAGTCAAACCAACGGGCGCACCTTCCTGCTTTGACAGTTGCGTAATAGACCGGCCCTATCGCTTTAACTCCATTACGCATATGATTGGTGCTGTGTAGTAACGCCGCTTGGAGATCTATTCTACATTCAAGTGAGGGAAATAATCACAGGAAAAAAAAGGAGAGGGCTTTGGGGGTTTTTGTGTGTGACCTGGGCCGGTGCCAGCACTACCTCGCCGTGGCCCGGCCCTGCCCGGCGCGGCCTGCTAACCCTGGTCAGGCTGACCGGCCCCGGGGCGGCGCGTCAGAGCGCAGCGGTGTGCGCTCACGGCACCGTCTGTGACACAGATACATGACAGGGCTAGGCTACCAGGGAAGCTAACAGCGGTGCTAGCTTGACACATTTCCAGCCCCGGCTACAGTGAGGAGACATGTACCGAGCATATGTAGCCCCACGCCGGGGCCTTGGTGCATGCAGAAAAAGGTGCTCTAGAATTACATGGGGGTGTACTTACTGCTGACTTTCATGCTGCCGAAAGCGGAGGGCTGCGGCACTGGTTTGCAGCTCTCCGCGAAGGATGTGGTCCTGGGCCGACCCGACATGATCCGATCCCTTTTTAGATTCTCTCGACTCGGGAGACTGTGACTCGCTTAAACGGCAGGGCAGGTCGATTCGCCGAACCTTCTCATCCAAAAAGGATGACAGTAAATGAATATGAGCGTAATTCACAGGGAGGACAGGCGAGAAAGAGATCCCTTTAGCCCCACGATCCTTCACGCTGCTTCGTATCACCTAATAAACTACCCTTTCTTTCCCAGCAGACGAGCCGATCAGAGCATCGTTTCTTCCGTATATTCCAGGTTTTCTTTCAGCGGGCCTTTGAAGACACGTCTCCGACTAAAATAGTCATGAATCTGGCCTCTCCCTGTGGCCCCCTTCGTTTAAAAAAAAAAAAAAAAAAAACAATTTTGCGATTTCTTTTTCTGGAATCAATTTCACAAAGAGTTCAGACAGGGATCCGGGCGGGGATCACAGACAAATGCGGCGTTTTCTGGATGAATCGGGACACATGCAGCTCCTCTTCATATCCCGATGTGGAGGCTCAATGATCCGACTGCCATGGCGGCTCCCTCGCTATACCCTAGCCTACAGACCGTCCAACGGAAAATCTGCCAGTTGCCACAGTCTCGTACAACGAATTCACTGGCCGTGCGCTGACACAAAATCCGGCCACGCCGCTGTCAAATTTCGGCGTCTTCACCGAGGCTCGGGGGCAGCGAGCTCCTCACAAAATGATGGTCTTTAGGTACAGATTGCGACGATACTGAATTTCTTTTTTTTTTTTTTTTTATTCCTTCCCCATAGGTTTCGGGCTCGCAGTCTTTGTCGCTGCGCATGCGAGGCGCGCCGTTTGCGTAAAGGCTTCCAGGGATTGCTGCGCCTTCATCCAGAGAGCTTCACGCTGCTGACGCAAGCGGCGGCGCTGAATAGGAAAACTGTGAACGCGCAAACGGTGAATCTGGGGTGGCCGAATTAGCCAATCAGAGCGGGTATCCTTCAGAAATGGGCGTTAACCGGGGGTTCCAGCGGGCCAATCGGAGCGCCTCTCCGGAGCACCACATGGCATAATTTTGCTCGGTACCGCCTTCGAGACTTCAAAGGCTTTTCCCCACGCCGCGACATGGGACATTGGGCGGATCCGCTCCCGGGATTGATGAGCGGATCCGCCAATGGGGCTCCAGCAGCAGACTGTCAGTTCAAATGGACCCAGCTGTCACAGAGCACCGGTGGTCATGCAGCACTGTTGCTATGTTAGGTACAAAAGCCCAATCCTCCACCTTTCCTCGACACTTAACGCGGCCCTCTGGCACATCCATTTAATTACACTGCTTAGTAATTCTGATCATGTGCGTGTGCATGGCTGACCTGTCACTACAACTCTCCATTCAGGTTCATTCATCATTCTTGTGTGCCTTAACCCCATCTTATATATTCCCCATTATAGCTCTTATAAATGATCTTTTTCAATTAGGTATGTATGGAAGATGCCATAAATTTTAATTAATTCCTTAAATTCAGCCCCACACTACCTCAATTCCTTGAATCATGCACGTATACATACTGCACATATACTGCAGGCCATCTAGTACTATTGCTGAAAGTTTTGTTCTTAAACCACATGTTGTATTTATCACCAATTCCATTCTAATTTAATATATTTAACATATTTTTAGTTTGAAGCACCACATTGCAGAGAACATTTCATTGTGCATTGCTGAATAAAGTTGAACCTTGACCCTCGAAGCCTTGAGAACTCCTTTGGCTCATCATTTTTCTTCTTTTTCTTTCCTTGGACATGTGCGATACGGTTCTATTTTAATAGTATTTATGTATATTTGGTTTATTTTTGTACAATATTTCTCAAATGTTTGCACTATCTTGGCTGCTGTAACACTGTGGGATTAATAAAGGCTTATCTTGTCTTAATAATGCTGTTGAAAAGGCATTTTGATATTTTAAAATTGTATTTTTGTGTAAATTCTCTTTCGGTTTGCAAAGCACTTTAAGCTGCATGGTGTGCATGAAAGATGTTTTATATGTACAGATCATCACATATTACTCATTACTGTAGGATGAAGTGTTTGTTCTTACACTACATTATCTTTTGCATTCTGATTTATTTTCTTTGTACATTACATGTGTGTTGCACGAATGGCACAAGTGCATTTCATTGTGCAAAACACTAAAGCTGAACCTTAAACCTTCACTTATGCCTCATAGATTTGCTCAATGTCAGTTAAAAAGAATAATTTTGGGGAGTCCAGGTTGTTTAAAATTCCTTTCACTGATCTTTTTAATCTAATATTTGGTAATAATGTTGATTTAAATGCTTAAATGGCAATAAATGATCAGTGGGTAAGATGGAATTGTAAGTCTGCCAATGTAGAAATTAATATTACTTGCAAGTTTTATCCAATCTGTAAGACATGAAGCATTAATAAAGCAATCAGTTTCAAATTATAAACCCCTAACAAAGAGTAATTTATTAGACGGTGATACAATTTATGCCTCTCAAATCACTTGAGGTCTACCTCAAACGCACCAAAGTGAATGCCGCTGCTGCGTAACTCATTTTTAAAAAATGCATGAGGTTATTTAGGGAAACAAATATAAGGTATGATTGATTGCCAACAGTTTTTATTCCTCAGTATGCCAGTGTTGCTCATCTGAAACAGAATGCAGGTCAGTTATCTTAGCTTGGCAGGAAAGTCTTTCCTCCTTCACAGTGATAGGTGGGCTGCTAGTCTGTCTTTTGTGTGGTTTATTTATACTTTGTAATGCTCCGTATCAAAGGGAATTTCTCCCAGGCTGCCCTTCAATGGTTCATATGCAGAATAGAGCGCAGCAGCGTCTCAAAAGCAGGCAGCTGAGCAGAAGTAATGCAAGACACCGTTTTTCCCTTCATGGCAACACCTCCCCCGGCAAACGCACATTTTCCCATTAGCGCAAGGGAAAAAAAAAAAAAGTAAAATACAGAGAGGAGATAGTGGAAGGGAGCGAGAGTGAAGGCCAAGTTAGGAAAGAGAAATCTAAAATAAGAGAAGAGAGAGTTTCTGTCTGAGTTGCAGGAATGTTATGGAAACTTCTGAATGCGTGTTCATGAACCGTTTTGCTGAAAGTCACGTGAAATGGATGCTGGCAAATCTTCCCCCCTTGGATAATATTAGTTTTAACACCGAAAGTCAAACGAAGGTCAGGTTTAACATTTTAGTGCATATAATCAAGATGGAGCTAGACCAGATCTTCAAAAACTTGCATGATTTACATACAGTCGCCCTAAAATATATTCATACACTTCCATGAAAGAAAAGGTAAAATTCACAATAGTCACTCAAATAACTAGAAACTGAAAAAAGCAACAATAAATAAAAATTTGCTAAATTATAATTTAGTAAAATAAGACATTGATTTTGAATTGTGGTTGAAAAGAATAATTTAAAAATAAATAAATAAACTGTCCTTGACAAATTAGAGCACTTTGCTGATGAGCAGTGGGCCAAAATCCAAATAGCTGTCAACAGGTGCAGAAGTCTGATTGAGAGTTAAAGAAAACACTTGATTGTAGTGATTGGCTTAAAGGGTTGTTCAATGAAATATTAGTTTATGGGTCCCATCATGCTTGTTTTTTTGTTGCTGTTGTTTTTTTTGTTTTTGTTTTTTTATATTTCTCTTGAACCACAATTCCAAAGCAATGTCATGATTCTCATTAAATTTGTATTTGTTATTACTTTAGTCAATTTCAACTTATTTCGGCTGTTTTTTTCCTTCTTTAATGGGAGGGTATGAATAAATTTGAGGACGACTGTACACGGTTACTTTTTTGGTAATATGCTTGCTTAAGTACACATTTGTTAGGAACCAGTAAAGCACAATTAAAAACCTGAAATGACAAAGGTCTTAACGTAGTTCCTGTATCTTTACACAATCTTCAGGCTCTGTTGTACGATGGAGCGTTGTGTCTAAATTAATGCTTATATAGTAGATCACCTTAAACACATATGTGCTAGAACATGCATCTTCGAGAAGGGACTTTGGTTTGAGCGAAATGTGAGAGTTGGACTAAACAGGGACTCGTTTTTGGCCTGTGATTGCATCAAGCCTCTGTCTGTTTGGCTGTTCATGCCGAGGAGGCTTATCTACTGTAAAGCAGGAAAAGGTGCAGAATGAGTGGTGTGGAGTTTCTTTTGCTGTCCTGAGAAAGGATTAGAAAGGCAAAGGTCAGTAGGTCTCTCTGTCTTACACAAACACACTCACACACATCGGACAAACATTCCAGCTAACTGCGACCTTTGCATATTAAACACTCTTAAACAAAACAGGACGACAACACTGAGGTCATAAGCAAGCAGCGAAAAGCAACTAGACAGATCTGTTAAGGTTATTTAAGAGATCAGTGACTTAAAGCAAACTCAGATTCTGCAATAAAATATTATCACATCATTTTAAAGTATACATATAATAATGTAAAACATAAAAAAAGAACCGTAAAGTAGCTCTGTACACCAAAACATCAACAAATAAATATTAAAATAAATACAGCTGATAGAGTGTACATTTCTAATATCCTGTGAAAACCTTATTTTCACATTTTTAATTTAGTCGCTACTGTCATCCCATTTTGAAATTAGATTAGACTTTTTTTAAATGTCAAGGATTTTCATCTGTCAGTAGAAATATACAAATAATGCCATAAGTAATATTAAAAAAATAAACAGCATTTTGTGCTTTCGAGATACAAAAATCGACTCATGAGTAAAAGAATGATCCTGCCCTATGATGAAAGATTGAAGACTATCTTAACCGGCTAAGATCGAGTTATCTCTCGTCGTGGAAGCACAACATTTGTTAAGGACATCAATTCAAGTGGTGGAAATGGATAAATATGTAAAGTGCAGCATATGTGTTCATACAAAGGTGGGTTTGAGGTCTTCTTTGAACACCACGGGGCGGGGGGAGCGGTAGAGGCTCGTGTAGTCGTCGTACTCGCTGTCCGAGGAGTCCGAGGAGCTGTCCGAGCTCAGGAGCGAGCCCCGCTGCAGGCAGGAGTCGCAGTAAGGACGGTGGTAGTAGCAGTAATCTGTCGAGCTGCTCGAGTCCGAGTCCCAGTACCCACACGAGTCTCTAATGCGTTTGTGGTGCTGCTCGTTATCACCGCCCACCTCCACTTCATGTTGCTCCGCACAACGCAACACTGAGCATCTGTGAGACCTTGAAACGCATCTTTGACATCTTTCTTCATGCCCGTCTGCGTCCTCCTCCTCTCTTTCCACATCAAGGTCGCTGCTGTAGACCTGGAGAAGGGTGTCGTCCGCAGTGATGCCCTCAGGAAGCTTTCCTGTGTTTTGGTGTTTACATTTGTCTCTTGTCTTCCCACAACTGGGAATCTCTGAACCTGTGTAGAAGCAAGGAGGGGACAAACCTCTCCGGGGGGAGTGAAAGGGCGGCCGGCGTTTTCTCATGGCGTAGGGGGAGATGCTGGGGTAGCGGAAGAGAACAGGTGGATGAGGGGAGGGAGCCGTCCGCGAGGAGAGAGGGGAGAGCGCCGAGGCTTTGGTCAGCGGCGTCCTGGACGTTTGACCCGGAGATCTAAGTGTGGTTTCCATGACTGCATCCACGCTCAGCTCCTGGAGGATCTCCTGCAACTGTTCGCTGCTAATAAAACCAGTTGGCCTGGCGTTTGGTCCCAGCTGAACTGTCAGGCCGCTCTGTCCGCCAAACGTCTCAACCTGAGAGGGTTTCAGCCCTCTGCGGGATTGTAGAGAGGTGACAAAGTGCACTGTCTCCTCTGCTGTCCTGAGTAAGCCAGGAAACGGGAGGGGCTGTTTGAGATCCTCCCCCGTCCTGGACTCAGCTGTGTCTCTGCCTGAAGGCCCAGTAGCGGAGACGTCTCTCTGGGTTTCACTCACGCAAACTTCGACGGGGAGAGGGGAGGAAACAGAAATAGGGGCCGCGGAGTTCGGAGCAGAGGGAGGCTCAGTGGACGGTGAAACCACAGATAATGAAACAGGAGCAGCAGGGAGGTAAGGGGAGAGGTGAGGGGGTGAGAGTCTGGATTTAGAGTCTCTCTGAGACAGAGAAGAGGAAGAGGGGCCTTCAGACTGGAGCTCGGTGGTCTGAGTGGAGGAGGAGTTGAGGTTGGTGGCGGAGGAGTCCATGTCCTGGTCCTCGGAGGGCTGGCTCGCCGACATGAGACGAAGGAGTTTGTCCTTGGCGTTGTTCACCTGCTCCTGAAGACTGTCGATCACTGCGTTCTTCTGAAAATGGCATTGACAAACACAAGTGTGAACATTTTGAGACAAATGCATCTGCCTCTAAGTTTGCACATATCAGTTTCTTGCATTTTGAATCAATATAAACAGAGCAGGCCCACAGTGAGAGGCAGTTGTTAACATTTTGCTCCACAGCTGTTGTCATTTGGATGTGAAACTAAGTCTGCCCTGTTTTCTCTAAACCTCTCTTTTACTCACAGTATTGCTTGACTGATAAATACTGTTGTTCTATTAACACTCTAAACCCCAAAACCCCACTGGCAGTTTTAAAAGGTATGTTTTTCTGTTTTTTTAAATCCCCCAAACTAATCCATTTATCACAGGAAGAACTGTAAAAACAGAAAGAGTCTTTAGATTTGCAACATTCTGGTTAAATGTATACCTTTCCATCAAAACTGTATCAATTCTAAGCTTAAAATTGTGACATTTCATCAAAATCACCTTATTGTATATGAGTCATGCAAAACATTTCCCCAAATAATTGTTTACTCTCACAAAAAAAATAAAAAAAATTCTGTGCTCCTTGACCCAACAGTGAAACCGTTAACTGCGACCGATTCTTTAAATTTGAAAGAAATACTTAAAATTTGCAAACTTTCTGGCGGTCCTTGAACTACTCATGCGTGACAAGTCATTGAAATAATTCTGAGCTTAAAATTGTGACATTTCATCAAAACCACTTTATTCTACACATCTTGTAAAAGAAAAAATGCCAAATATAAATAATACTGCAGCCAGATTCTGTAAAAAAGAAAAAAAAAAACTGCACTTCTGTGTGAAGCCGTCAGTGACTCAGCTGTGACCAACAGTCATGTGCCTGCTGCTCTCCTCAGCTTCCTTCATTCCCCCTCACCTCCATCACCTCCCTGGAGCCTCACACTGAACCCTTCTTAACTGTTATAAAAGTGAGTTCTTGTCTGGGTTCAGTCCGTTGCAACACCAGTGTTAAAAATGTGATAAATCCAAAAATATACCCAAAGCATCTTCGTTATTATTTAAAGTAGCAGAAGCTGAATGCTGATGTTCTCCTTTTACACGTGCTTTAAAAGTGCAGATGCCACCAAGACTAGTATCAGTGAAAATGGATTGACAATAAATCAGCATTTAATTTGAATTCTTTTTCTATTTCTTCTTACTGAATATAATACATTACCTCACTCAGGAGTTTTTTCATGGAGCTGTTTTCCCCCAGCAGGTAGTAGATCTCATCCTGGCTGTACACAGAAGCCTGGCTCTTACTGGGGCTGCTGAAATATTTGGCCATCTGACTCGGGTTGTTCTGATCCTCTTCAAACTGCCGCCACTGGGTCAGCTGCACGGTGGCATTTCAGAGAAGTGAAAAAAAAAGAAAAAAAAAAGCACTTTGTTACACTCATTTCCAGCAATTGATGTACTGCACACACTTGCACAAAATGTCATCATCTGACCTGGGATTCTGACCAGGTGTGTTGGAGCATGAGGCCCATTGTTCAAATATTTCCTCCCTTTCCACCGGAGATGCATTCCTTCATTGTAACGTAAACTCCCTGCCAGACTCTCAGAGAGTCATAAACCTGTTTGCAGCGGCCTACGTAGGTTTGACTCATAAACACCTTCTTTGTGAGTCACGCTCCATTGACAGACATGGAAAACCGACACACGCACGGAAACGTCAAGTGCGAGCGCCTCGATCGCTCACAGATTTTTTACTAGCTTTATCCAAACACAAAGAGAAAGTCATACTCGTAGCTGTCATTCACCTGTCAGACATCTGCAGTCTGTGCCTGTCTGATTGATTCTCTGTATTGACTGCTGGTTTCCAGACACAGTGTCCTATTACTGCATGACTAAATGATAAACCTTCCTGAACAAAAGAAGCTACCAAACTGGGGAGATGCAAAGAGGTGTTTTTCCAGTCAAATAGAAAAAAATATTGCAACCTCTCCAATGCAAGTAAACTAGAAACTTTGGTGCAGAAATGTCGGTATGATGCACATTTTCTCTGAGACGCCACATCCACAGCACAGTCATGCATTTTGCATGTGCATCTTGCGGTGTTTGTTTTCTAACCTGAGGCACAAACAGCATGCAGTTAGTGGCCAGTGTGCAGATGAAGATGGCTCCAGCCACGGTGCTGTAGACCAGGTTGGGCCAGGCCTGCAGGAAGACGGACACGGGGACGGCCACGGCAGAGGAGAAGGTGACCAGAGAGACGGCGGTTATGATGGTGGGAGACTGGTTGACCGGAGGATGGCTGACGTTGCTGGTCAGTCCAGCCAGATAAGTGCCATAGAGGAGAAGACAGCCCTAAGAAGAGACCAAGTCAGGACGAAGAAATATGTTTAAATCAAACTTTTTGTTGAAGCTGAGTTCTGGTAGTTTGTAGTAAGTATAAGGATTTGTTTTCTATCTTCTGATTGTGAATGAAACACTTAAGTAATTCTTTACAAAATAAAAGCTTTGGTTGTAGACGTTAAATAAATACACAGGTTCAAAAATGTATGCTTCATCTTTTTGTCATTTCAGAAGCCATTAAGTCTTTTAATATTTGAAATCTAATTTTAAATTTTACCTTTGAGCTTGGGCGTGCAGCAGTTCCCATCAGACATGTTCACTTAACCATTTAAACTACTTGTTATGACATGCATAAGTTATGCAATACCAAGAAAGCTCTCTGGACTAATTCCTAGTTTTACTATTTCTTGGAATGCAGCAATTTTGCAAATAAAAAACATCAAATCCAATATAAATTATGCCATCATCACAATAAAGGAACTCAAAACAGTCATTTACTTTATGGCTGCATGTAAATAGTGACTGAACAGAGATGACTTACCTTCTGGATCACAATAATGATGACCCACAGATCTGAGTACACTGAAGAACAAGAGTCCAGCTGAGACAACGAGTAGGAAACGTCTCTCTCCATCACCTACATCAAAGGAAACCATGCACAGTCAGTGAGCTGACATTTAATCTATTTAGCGAACAACAATTCAACAGTTACATTTAGGTAGGAGAATGAGTTGTGCAGCCACAGTGTCTGCTTTTCTGCAGGCTTGTTCAAATCACGATGATTCAATTTAGATAAACAAATGGGTCATAAATGAAGCACCGAGTGTACCAGCCCTCACACTGTTCTGCAGTCCATCAAAACCAAATTACAACTTTTTTGTTCCCTACAAAACCACTAATAAATTCTACCTTGACAACAGCTCCGACAGATCGTGAACACCTGATTGGGTCTGTGAGGTTCCAGGCGGTGAGAACCAGCATGTCCACCAGGATCAGCAGAGCCACCAAGCCCATCAGCTGGATGTCACGAATGATCTACGAGAGAAGGTGAAGTCAAAAATCACATTTAAAATACTCCATCTCTGCAGGGTTATAGTAATATGAGTAATAAAAAGCAGTAGAAAGCTCCCAGAAAGTATTTACCAAGGTGCAACCATCACCTAACTTTTGGAAATCATCGAAATTAGTACAGAAAATAATATAGAGGTGTATGTCATGGGAAACATGCAGCAGATTTATCTTTATCTACATGACAGTAGTTGGTAGAACATTTCTGTATTTTCTTTCAACTATCACACAAAAGCAAAAAGAGAGAAACAAATGTGACAAAAGCCCTCTTGGTGGATTTAGCTGATGGTAGAAAAGAAAAAAAAAAAGAACTTAAGATGTATACATAATACGTGCTGACTAACAGGAAGCTGTGAAAGACAAAAACTAAAAAAGATCTACACATCTTGGCCTGAAAACGTCTGTCATGCCTCATGTTTTGCTGTTTTCATTCAAATCTTTTTCAACATTACTTCTTTTGACCCACTTTACTGACTCTGGATTGCAATGTAGAATACCAAAAATCCAATTAAGGTAGAAAACAAATGGGAGTACACTCCTATGCAGAATCACCAACGTGTTAAATAGTTCAAAGCTGTATCACTTGACAATAATTGTATTATAACATATTAACTGTAGGGTGTTTGAGCATATGCAGACTCTAAATTACCACCCAGAGGGAACAAAGTCTGTTTAAGTG